AAAATATTTAAGAGGAAGATATAAACTACTGTATTTTTATAGTCTAACTATAAAAACTTTCGAAGAATTCCAATTTGAATTTTATCTAACATGTTCTAATAAAATATAAATTCTAGAATAAGTTTTGACCAAATATAAAGCATTAATATATTATGTAACATCTTTTTTTCGCGAATAATACTTAAATTTATCCAATAACAACGCATAATTTCTATTTCTTTATTGGATATCATTCCGAAATGTGGACGTCTAAACTGCATCATTCTCTCAATAATAATGCATGAAACAAAGAATAAATCTTCTTAAATAGTCCTTGTTCTAATGTAGAATATGCGTCATTTTCACAAAAACATTTTGCGCAGCAAATGAAAATATATATATAAGCTATATGCAAAAACTCTTAATGAATAACTATAAACGAAGACATGGATGCTGGCAAAAAATTCATCATTGTTAATACTTCCTTTAAATTTTTAATCGACGATCTATTTAATGATCATGTCATGTTTGAAAAATTTCCAGTTGAAACAATTAAAGGAATTTTACAAACTAATAGATTTATTAGAAAGCTCTTTATGGATATGGTCCAAAAAAAATTTATTGAAATCCTTGATTATGATTCTCAAATCAGTTTTTTCATGCTACTTCAATATTGGATTAAAAGTAACGAAGATTATAATAAATTCAGTAATATAGTAAAAAATAAATATTTAAGTAGAGATGTTCATCATATTCTCAAAAGAATCACTCTGAAGGGTTCATTTGATTATTTCAAACATTGCCTTTGTGGAATCGAAAAAAGCATGCAAACAAAAAATGATTGGATAAAATCAAAATGCAGGAGTAATTTATTGTGTTTAAATTACGTGGGATATGGATATTATGGTAAAAAATATTACCTATTAAGAAAATTTAGAAGAAATTTAAAAAGAGCGAATAGAAACATAAAGTCTAAAGAAAAATGCAAAAAAATAATCAGAGACTTAAACACAATTTTATTCAAAGAAAATTAGTTTTTATGTATTGGTTTTAAATATTTGTACTAAATAAATGTAAAGTTATCAAAATATCTAAACAAAATAAACTATATCTAGTAATGATAACAATTAAAATTGTTTTGTAAGAATACGTAGAATGTTGAAAGCACTCGGATAACCAAGTTGTGGTGCAGACAAAGTTGTTTTAAGTGAAATTATTCAAATATACTCATTAAGCATTATTAAAAAAATATAATTTCAGTAATTTGATAATAGTACAATGTGCGTGTTTTATTTTATCTTTGAAAAGATTTGACTATAATATGACAAAAACGCAAATCTATTTATTGAAATTTAATTTATCAAAATATAAACTAAGCATTTAAAATATGTTCAAATAATACAATATTGTTGCTACACTTGATATTGAATATAATATAAAAAATATATAGCTTACTTTAAGTATACTATAATAGTATTGCACTGTTTTTAAGCATTATCAGAATTTTTTGTTAGTGCGATTTCAAAATCCACATTGAGTATTACATATGTTAGAAAGTGATAAATTTTTGAAATCTAACTACTCTTGCAGGATTAATTATATTGAATTTATGAAATGAATTAGAATTATCTAATTGTTTTATTTAAACAATAATATTATTTCAATTTTTAATGTTTTCTAATTCAAATTTTCTTATTTATCAATTGAAGTAATATAATGCAAATTCTTTATATATAATATTTCATTCCTTATCATCAGTATTGTAACAAATGCCTAACACTTCTACATTAAATCTTCCATTACTAGTGTTAAAAGAAATCTTTGAAATTTTAGCAAATGATACTAAAACACTTCACTCTTGTATACAGGTAAATCCTGAATAGTTTTGTGAAGCATCTCCTTTATTGTGGTATGATCCTTTTTCAAATAAAACAAAGACACACCTTGCTATTGAAACTTATATACAAGAAATGTTTCTTCAAGAAAAACAAATAATCAAAAAACATTTTAACATTTCAAGATTTGTATTTAAATTATTGTTACCATATTCTTCATTTTTGCGATTAATTAATATAAGTAACTTCATGGATACTGTGATCAATTTTTGGCAAAAATTCCATAAAAATTCTCAAGATTGTAAGATTAAAATGATTTCTAAACTTCTTATTCAATTAATGTTGAATAAATCTACTAAAATTCAACAATTTAAATTCGCAGATTTATACCTTTTTGTTTATCCAGAGTTAGGCAATTCTCTTGTAAAATTAGTTAAAATCCAGAATGGATTAAAACACTTTTCACTTACAAACACTTATTATAATAATAATATATACTTTTTAAATGCCCTACAATATTAGTTACACTCTCTTTCATATTTAGAATTTAATTCTGTTGAATTTATACAAGTTTCTTTAATCGGCTTTATAAAAAAGTATCAATTACTTTCAAAATTAGCTATTTTCAATTGTTTATTTGAAAATGAAGGTGATCAAAATAATTTAATAAACCAAATTCCCATCAAACAACTTGTTATTTACAACTCTACCACACCTGTTATCAAACTTATTTTACTTTGCAATTCAAGTTTAAAAACCCTTAAAATTATAGGTCTGTGCTGTATAGATAAAATTGAGAAAATTTTAGAAATAGCTTTTGAATGTTGCCCAAATATTGTAGATTTTTCAATTAGATTAATTACATTTAATCTAGATTATTTAGAGATTTCTTGGGCTCCAAGCTTGCAATATTTGATATTGTATTAAAATCATTTTGTTGTTAATTTAAAAAGTATGAAATTAGGAGATTATCTAGAAAAACTAGCTAAATCGTTACCCCTAAATATGAAAGTAATTAAAATATAGATGATTTTGCAAGGTTATGAAGAAGAAGTAAATTTAGATGATTTATGTAGATTCTTTAGTAATATTAATTTTAGACGCTTATTTGTTCTTTTAGAAATTGCTGTTCCTTATAATTCGCAAGTGGTTTCTAAAAGTATTCAATTTGACGAATTTGGAAAACTAGAAGAAATCGAAAGCAAAAGTCTTAAAAGTTTTAGAAGTTATAATACTCCATTCAATATATTATTTTAGAACTATAGAAAATATTACAAATATATATAAGAAAAAACAGTAAAACATAACGGGTTGTGATTTCACAAACCCACGGGTCCATAAGATCATATGATCATAGGAATTTCCATTTAATGAGATCTTATACAAAACATAAATTAATACATCACGTATAAATATATACGTTGTAGGTGAGAACAGAATTTAAGTTGATTCAGAATTTTTAAGATTAGAGTTGAGATTATTTTTCCCCTAATAATCAGCACCATCTACTTAACAAACTTTAAATGCCAGAAACTATCATTTTAATCAAATTATTTTATATTTTTTTTATAATAATATCAAATTCTGCCATCTGCATTTATACATTTTTGTCATTCTCTTGAGTGTAAAGCTTACTAGCTTCGATGTCCCCAGTATAATTAAGTTTATTAATAAATTCTTCAAAATTTTTACAATAATTTAGTAAATTATCTAATAGCAGCAAATCATAACCTTTATTTTCAAAATTAATTGATTCATCTGCTAGCACTGGTTCAAAACCTACTTTCTTACGGATACACCAAGAACTGACATTTTTAGGTCTAACTGTAGCACTGAATTGTTCTAACTTTACCATTAAATTAAAAGATTTCTTGAATCTTTTGTTTATCCTGTATATTAAGATTTTCTTCCAAACAATTCTGCATACTTCTGGGTCCTACTCATTAACCATCTTACTTAAAACTGATTGCCCAATTCCTCTATCCCAGTATTTGTGAGACAATGCATAAGCTATTTCTGATCTACCTTTTTTTTTAGGTTTAGATATTATAAATCCTATAAAATTACTTTGCTCATCAAGAATGGTGAGTGCACCTTTAGGTTGTCCAATTCGATATTCATTATTTATTCTAAATTCTTTTTGGTTGCCTATTGTGATACATATATCTTATAATATTTGCATCAGATAATAAACATTCATAATTTTGTATGTCATGCTGCTGCATTTCTCGAGCAAACTATCCTTTGTTATTTTATCGACACCACTAAAACGTACAGATACCACATCATTTTCTGAGTATTTAAAAATTGATCTTGTCATACTTTAAATAAGTAACTTTAAGTATTTTTGTTACATGTCCTTAAAAATTAATTTTTAAAGAAAAAATAACTATAGCATTAGTTAACTACAGATTTACAATTATGAATCATTTTAAATTAGAATTATTCATACTATATAAGAATACAATAAATGTTTCTATTAATATTTATTCACAATCTAAAGAACAATACAAGTTTGTTAGTTCTGTTTATATATAACAATATTTAAATTAAAATTTACTTTTGTTTTAATGAGTTTCTTAATTGTAATTAAACACTCTTGCATTATTAAAAACGATAGCTGCCAATAGTAAGTATAATTGAAATATGAATTAACCAATAAGAATCAACTTGTAAATATTTTTGTTTGTTGGGATGCAATCCATTATTTGTTTTTCTATTTAAAAATTATGGATTGCACTATTTGTTTGAAAAACTTCGATTTTTGGGTCTTATATTGTGTATTATTATACTCATATAAAAACGAATATATTGCGGTTGAATTAATTTCGAAAAACTTCGTTTTTGGGTCTTATATTGTGTATTATTATGTTCATATAAAAATGAATATATTGCAGTTGAATTAATTTCAAAGTGTAAAATGTCAAAACGAAAAGTATTAACGCATTATTGATTTTACAACATATCTTGTCCTGATTAAAAATTCTCAGGATGCTCTGGGTACGTCTAAGATATTTATT